GGTCTGAGCCGTGGTGCTTAGAGAGAGAGAGAGAGAGAGAGAGAGAGAGAGAGAGAGAGAGAGAGAGAGAGAGAGAGAGAGAGAGAGAGAGAGAGAGAGAGAGAGAGAGAGAGGCAAGTGGAGGGAGTGCAAGAAGAAGGTGCAACAACCGCGCCACACCACACGCACACACTCTCTCTACGGTTGTTTTGCAGCAGGCGGTCCGGCTCGTAGTTTCAGCAGACCTTCCAGAAGCTGCTGCCCAGGGAGATCTCGTCACGAGTTATCCCCAAAAATTCTGGAGGAAAAGGAAAAGGTTTGGCCTCGGGAGCGAACTGCCGCGGCAAGGCGTCGGCCTGTACGTTGGTGGCTCCAGGGATGTGCTGGAGCCCGTTCACTTGGTAAGCCCTCACCGCCTGGTCCAGTGCAAACTCCCGGGCCAACACGTTGAGCTCTGGGGCTTTGGCGTTGCCCTTGGCGAGCGCCATCAAGAACCCAAGGTTGTCCGATTTGGCTCGGAAAGTGGCCCCGTGCGTGAGGGAGGGAAGCCACAAGCGGAAGGCAGCCAACAAGGCTAAGCCTTCCCAGAGCGTGTTGTACTTCGGGAGCCCCCTCTCCGCGCCAAACTTCTTGAGGACACAGTCCGGGAGGTGGGTGTAGTAGTGGCTCCTCGATATTCGTTCTCGGAGGGTCCGCGTAGAAGATCCTCTCGATAGTGGGGCCCCCGCTGAGGAGAGCCTTGACCCATCGTAGTGCTGGGTCGATCCTCTTTGACATGTATGAGCTTTCGGGCCGCCTTTGTGGGGCGACCTTCATTCGTCGCACCGTGTTTGGTGAGCACCGCCCAGAACGATGAGAGAAAGGGCCTCAGGTGAGGCACGGGCCCCGCCACGAATGACAGGGAGCCGGTGTACGACCTGAGCTCGCGGGCTCCGGCCACCGCTTGAAAGGAACTTGTCGGTCTCGAGGGAGGAGGAGGGCCCCGATCTTGGCCTCGGGCAGCGTCACAGTGACTGCCTTGCTTTCGTCGTCGCACCTGATGCGGGCGCCGACCCATTCCACGTCCTTGCCCCCGGTCGCCTTCGACAGACCGCCGTTCAGAGGAGGACGGCTGTCAAGTCGCCGGCTGCGGTGCTGAGGCCTGGCCCCTCCAAAACGTAAATCGGGTCGCGTGCGTCCAAGCCAGGCTGCTGCTCGCCCCCACACCGTGGGCGAGGAGGCTGAGCCAAACACCAGGGTGTTGAAGAGGACCACTCTGTGCCTCCGCTTCCTCTTGTTGCGGCCTCCAGGGAGGGCTGACGCCGTGAACTTCCTAGAATTTTTCCGCGGGGATGTTCATGAAGGCGTCTCGGATATCCACGCCGGCCAGAAAAGGGGGCCTTCCCCTCCTGTAGGAGGCCAAGGCTGACGCAACAACGTCCAGGAGGCGAGGAAGCCTAAATGACCCGTGCTTTCTTGACCACCTTGCCTGTTGCGTCCTTCTTCTCCTTGACGAGGACCCCGAGCTTGTTGAGGACCGCCTGTCACCCCAACCTGGCAGCGGCCTCCGCCGCGGGGGCGATGTCAGCAGGCTGCTCTGTGGGTCAAGCTTTCGGGCACTCGTTGGCCGGGTGCGGTCCAAGACACAGGTTGCATTGGTGCGAGTTGCCATCACGGCACTTGCTCTGTGGCTTCTTGGTCCCGCACTTGCCCTTGTTGTACCCTTCACACACCTTGGCCCCGCGGCGGTTGCGGACGAAGATGCCCCCTTTCTTCTCGGAGTGGTTCTCCCTCGTAGCGTTTCTTTTGCTTCTTTCGCGGGGAGCCTTTGCCTTCCTCCTGGCCTCCATGCGGTCGACGGTCTGGTTGGTGGCCGCCGTTGCCTGCGCTTCCGGAGCCGCCCGCGTTGCTGGCGCCACTGCCTCCTCCTTGACGCTGGGAGAGCCACAAGGTGGCCGGCGTGACAAGCTCCCTCGTCCAGAAGTCGCCGTCCCTTATGGCTGACGTGCTGGCTTGTCGTGGACAAGTCGGCGGAGGCGCTCCATGTGTTCGCAACGAAGTCGATTTTCCACCTTATAGACCAACCAGTCCGAAGGACTTTCCAAGCCTCCATCCATGCATGGTAGGAGGCGGGTCCCGGCTGCTCCTTCTTGCTCCACTCTCCGGTCGCCACGGTGAGGATGTAAGAGGTGAAAGTCTGCTTCCTCGAAAGCGCCCGAAGAGGGAGAAGTCGGCATAGGGTGCCGAGCCCGCCGTCACCACTTGACGAAGCGAGGCCAGCTGATCCGCAGATGGATCAGAGTCCGGGCTTGGGTAATCCCCGACTTTGCCTTATAGTCCTGGTAGATCTTCTGGACCTCTGCGTTGCATAAGGGCGCCACCTCAGCATCAAGGACAGCTTGAGGCGACGTGCCCCTGTGGGGCTTGCAGTGGCTGCCGGCCCAGGGCCGGGTGCAGGAGAGATGGCCGGAGGCCCTGACGTGCCAGGTGGATCAGGGGCGATGCCCATCAAGATCAGGGCCACCCATCAGGTGGGTGGATTCAATCCTAAGCCCTTCGGGCTGCTCGCCGCCTCAAGTTCGGCTTGGCGGTCTCGGAGTTGCGCAAAGAAAACGTCCCAAGGTGGGCAAGGGCCAAGGAGAGCCGGCGGCGGCTCCGGATGAAGTTCAGGGCCCGCCGTGAGATGGACTCCCAACGGCCCACAGGGGTGCGAGGCTGTGTCGGAGGAGCCCGGCCTGTCGGGGTCTGGCTGCTCGGGCGAGTCGCCAGACAACCGCAACAGAAGCCGAAGACCCAGACAAAAGTGCACAGACTAAGGAGAGCCCACGGCACCAAGCTGTCGCCACCGAACTCGACGAGCGGGCCGCCAGAGGCGAAACCACGCAAGTCAGTCCAGGGAACGACCGCCCGGTCCATGTAGCTTCCCACCTGTTTCCTGGGCTCACCAAATACAGGGTGTCGCCCTTGAGTCCAAAATGGCCACGAAGGGACACCATTAGAAGTAACCCACCATCCACGTGAACGATTGTCACTGCAACAAGCGCATGCTTAAGTTTTACACCACATTGGATCCGACACTGCGTTTCGGAGCGTTAGGATATCCGATGCCATATCAAGATTTTCAGAACAGTTTCAGCTGCCGCAGAGCGTCAACAGTGCACTGTCAGGGAGTTGCTTCAAAAGCGATTCTTGGGACAGTGATCTGGCCCTCCAGCGCTGGGAGAGTCTCAGCTTGCCGCAAAAGGGCAGGATCGAAACAGAGATTCAGCAGCATGGGCACTGCTTTGTGCACGGAAGTGGATGAAGTGATCAGGGGAAGGAGGAGGTATCTCCCTCAAGCGTAAGCAAATTGTGGCTAGTGCGAAATGCGCGGTGAGATGTCGTCCACAGGATGTCGAGACACCCACGAACAGACCCTGTTGGGCTGCGGAGAAAGCCAAGGCTTTACAGCTTTGTCTCAGGGCGGCACGATAGCCCTGCCAGGCAGTCGTGCACCTGGGAACCTGCATGCGACAGGCACAGTGCAGCAAAAAGCAACCCCCCCACCCGTGCACGGACGCTGTGCCTTGAAAACATGCTTACTGAAACTGGCGGCAGCTAGCCTGGCCTGCCAAGCACCACTGACTCGGCAGCGGCTGACGTGCTACTTCAGACTTCAGGCTCAGGGTCGCACTCCGCGTCTCGAAGCCATCTTTCGGCCTACTTGCCAGCCATCGCGGCATTGGCTACAATGCTCCTCTCACTAGATCTATCTCGATGCCAGATGCACATCCTTGATGTCAGCTCACGTAATACACAGAGTAAGCACGTTTCGCATTATGTGCATGTCACAGATGGCCTTTATTCTTGACCCCGTAGCCACATCTTATTTTGAATGGGTCAACTCCAGCCCATCTCGAGCCTGATGCAGGCAACATCACTGAGTGAAGCTTGTTCCGAGGAAGCCGTGCACCATGCAGTAGCCTGCGTTCGTTGTCCACTCAAGCGGCGGGTGGCAGCTAACCTGCGGAAACTTGGCGATACATACACATGTACATATATATCTATATATATATACATACGTATATACATACATATACACAGATACACAGATACACAGATACACAGATACACAGATACACAGATACACAGATACACAGATACACAGACATAGACATGTGATATATACATGTACATACTTATACATATACATATGTGTGTATGTATGTGTATGCAGTTCAATACACTTTGACTTTACCCCGTCCCATTCTGGGGCTGAGTCCCAGGCAGCTCATCAGGTGGACAGGCTGTTGCACCCATCGCCCGCCTCGGAGCATACTCCATCAAGTGAAGGAAGGAAATCATGTCGACTTGGGTTTCGGACCACATGGGGCCGCACCTAAACCGTCCACGACCGATATCACATGGGACATTTGCGGATATACTTTCGATCTCCCACAATAGCGCAGCTCAGCACTCGACGGCGGCAGCGCCTCGGTTGCTCTCGGTTTGCCGAAACAGGCTCTGTCCTGTCCTGGATGCTGCTGCTCAAACATTGGGGCATGTTCTCCCAACCAGAGTGACTTTGTCGGGCTCAGAGCTGTGGGCATGAGCTCTGTTCTTAAGATAGGACCAAAGAACCTGTACCTCTGTATAGTACCACAAGATACGAGTTGGTTTACCCTCTCGTCGCGAGCTATCAAATGCTGCCAGGGCCGCCATCACGCAGTCTGCTGCAACGACCAAGTCAAAGGGTCCGTGCTCCTGGTCGCAAAGGCGCCCTGTTTTGAAACCGAGAGCCCGCCCACCCACCTACCCAAACTCCCCCGCCACTCCGTCTGCAAAGCAACTTTTGACTCCCGGCATCTCAGCTCGGATCTAGAATCCAGGCAAACGCGAAGCAAGAGTGCCACAGAAGGTCTGCGGCAGCCGCAGAACGACGTGAGGCGGGCGCCGGGAAGGCGTCAGAGGTCGGGTCGTGGCAGCGAGGGAAGGAGGAGCACGTGGAGCTTGGAGACGCGATTAGCTTGAGGACTGCACAGAGCGGAGCAAAGCAATGAGCCTCACTTCCTCCACAAGACGATACAAAGAGCAGCGACCCCGAGGGTAGCACCTTTGAAACAGGAGAATGTCACGAAGGTGCCATGAACGCTGCACAAGCTATCCCCACTCTGCCAATTAAGGACCCTGCAGAGCAAGCGGTAGCTCGGCGCACACCGCGCAGCAAAGCCAAGGGACTTTGCGAGCTGACGGGTCTCCTCAAAGGCATGCGGCACCACTGTCAGGTATGCGACAACCACGAAGCGGCCACGTCCTCATCTGCACACCTTGGAATCTTCGAGATACAGCAAAGAGGTCCAGCAAAATTGCAGCTGAGCCGTCCAAGTCAAGGCACCAAAGAGTCGACTGCGGCTTCAAGTGCTGCATGCGAAGGTGGTTGAGAATGCACTTGAAGGCATCTGGCGGGAAGTCGAGGAAGATCCGGCCGCGGTTGTCCTGGACAACATGCATGATGTAGACACTTTCTACGACTACAACGGTCGGCCCCGTGGTCACTTCTCTGTGAAGCCAGGCAGCACGGACAAGCATGGGATTGTCCGAACCGTCGCCCAAAGCTCTGAGAAAAGACTTCGGCGGAGAGCGACGAAGAGTTGCCACAGAAACGGCAACTACCTCGCCAGCCACGTTGAGCTCTTGGACGGCATCCTGTGCTTGCTGAGTCTCCTCAACCGCGGCTGCCTTTGGCTGCACCCTGGGACGCTCGGCTGCCTGGGCAGTCGCGAGCTCTTCCCGCAACACCTTCAACACCGCATTGATGGGGCAATTCTTGTAACTCAGCTTGTGAAATGTTGGCCCAACAGAGCTCATGTCGACGACATGCAAGTGGAGCGAATTGACGGAGTTGTGGCCAAAGACGTGGAAGAAGAGCCCGATCTTGTCGGACCAGCCCTGCATGTTCATCACGTACGCCAAGGCGGCGGCCTTCAACGTCTCCAGGAGCTCGATGGACTCCATCAAGCTTGCTGGGTCGGGGTGGTCCGGGTCCCCATCTTTGTCGCTCATGCCCAGCGTCAGTGCGTTGAAAAAAGTCCATCGCAAGTCTTTTGTCGTCAAAAACCGGTGTCTCGCTGACATGGATGCCTTGCCAACCCACTCCGCTGCTTCTGAATCCCAGTGCGCGTCATTCTCTGGCTTGTTGCGGCAAACGCAAACAGAACTCGAGAAGTCTTGCAATGCAGCTTGTTCCGCTGCCATGCCTGAGAAAAGCGTCACAGGAGCCCTAACTAGGCCTCAATCGAAACCGAAGCAGTTTGCGAGGGAACAAAGGTAGTGGCATCTACAGGCTGCATTTGCAGTTGCAACCTATCGGAGCTACAGTTCCGTGCCTGGCTGCTCCATCTCCCCAGCTGCGATTCTTGCAAAGAGGTTGAAAGGCTTCGTCCCGGTGGTCAACAAGCCGGTGGATGCATCGATGAAGCCCGCGTGAGTCAGCTCAGATTTCAGAGCCTTACAGCCACCACAGTCCTCGCGAAAGATACGTCGAACTTCGCGGAAGCTTCCCGCGTCGCAGAGCACGGGAACACGTTCCACCAGCTCTTCCTTCAGGCTCGTGGCACCACCAGTGCCCCGAAATCCTCCACTCAATGCGTCGAGGCTGAAACGGGCTTTGCGCTCTCCAGCCAGTGATGACACCACTCGCGGCATTGTGTAGTCCTGCGCTTCTTCTTGGAGTACCTTGATCACAGCGTCCAAGGGGCCTCAGTGACTCAGGGAGTGGCCGAACGTTTCTCAGATCCCGGGTCCGACAGCTGACGAAAATCACGAGAGTTGCTTTCGTGATCCAAGGCGCAGTTTTTGTAGGTCTGCGCCTTGGACATCAAACCAGTCGATCAGAATACAGTCTAGCCTGAGCGTCTCACCGAAACCGTCCAGAACCCAAACGAACCGAGATCCTGAGCCCGAAGTGTCACACGTTGGGCCGTCGTCCCTTCCCAGTGTCGACTCCTCACGACGACGGACCGATGCCAGGCCGCCCAATGCTTGCAGATACCGCTCGTGTTGTTCGTGCTGCATCCGCGCAAAAACAAAGTTCAGAGATGTTGCGCTACGAGGTGAAACTTGCTGACCGGCTCTGTTCTAAAAACAGGACGATGGGAGCTCAAAGAATTCGTCCCGCCACAGGGGGTGACTTGCTACGACAACCCACACAGCATGGCAAAGGATTCTTCGTGACGGTCAGACAGATCGGGCGAAGTTGACCTCTTCTAACTTTGCGTGTTCTCCATTCGCAGTTGCGGTGACAGTGATTGGCAACTCTGTCGAAGGCTACAAGCAATCAGAATGTTGGGGCTTCACATCCATCCCTCGACAGCCCCGAGCGACAGTTGTTCAGACAGTTGAAGACTGGTCGGGCATAGAGATGTCATGCCAAGTTGACTCCGTCATACTCCTGAGACCCTCGTCATCGCTGGTGTGGGCTCCAGACAAGATAAGCATTTGTGTTCATTTGCAGCATAGCTTCTCGTCTGATACGTTCTGCTTCAGCATCCTTCCAACACAAGTGTTACACGAATCGCTAACAGATGCCAGGAGATCAAGAATCGTCTCCTTCACCACCCTTCACCAGCATGCACTTGTCAAGTTCACGAGCGCCTTGCCAGCCGCTTCGCACCTCCCGCTTCTGTCCCGGTCGCCCGTCAGCCCTTGTGACCGTGCCCACCCCCGCCCTGCGGCATCAATACGCTGCACGAAGTGTCAACAGCCACAGCTGACCTTTCCACCATGTGAAAGAACATACGTCATGCTGAAGTTCTGCACGATCCTGTGAAAAGCAAGGCACGCATGGTCGACTTCAGCTGCCAGGAGGACGCTGACACTGAGAGCAGGGATGGGGGAGCTGGCTCTGCTGCTCCCTCCTTCAAGGTCTGCTGCTTCCAAAAGCGCTGTACGAGTTTTGAGTGCTCTGAGGCTTGCTGCTGACTTGCTGCTGCTGCTAGTTGCTGCTGGCTTTTGGTGTTGTGATGGCCGCGAGCAGCAGTTCATGATGGTTCATGTCACTTCCGCCATGCAGCTGAGAAGCAGCGAAGCTTGGTCCGGTGACGGTCAGGTCAAGGATGTGTATGAACAGTGAATTGACGTTGTTGTGGCCGAAGATGTTCACATAGAGGCCAACATCTTTCGCATCTCGCGGCCAGCCCGGGCAATGCTGAGCAAAGTGGAGAGCAGCAGACTTCATCTGCTCTGCTTCCCGAAGGGCTTCGCGAACATCGCATCCTTCTCCAATTTCGCAGACCATTCCGAATACGAGCGGATTAAACCTGAGCTCCGAATCTGGCGAAACCAATGCCAAAGCGCTTCATAGCCCTTGAGTGTATCTTCATCTGGCCCTGCTTTTGCACACGTGGTCTGTCAATCTGGGGCAGCCACCACTGCCAACGTACGTCCTACACCGCAGCAGGCCAGACGCTTGTTTGCTCTACTAGCTAATCGTCTCTAGTGCGACGCTCATCTCCACTTCTGTCCTTGGTTGTGAGAAACCGATGTCGTCTTGACATGGAAGCTCGTCTGACCCACTGCGGATCTTCAGAATCCTGGGCTGAGGACCGCAGAACCAAGACTCGACAATGGCACCCACACCCGAACCCGGAGCGCACATCTGACCCACGTGGCCGAGCTTCCCAGTGCAAGTCATTCTCAGCCCGATTGCAGCAGACAAGGAACTTCCTCAGGCAAAACCCACGTTCACCACGTTCACGTGGCCGTGTGTGCTCCCTTTCTCCAAGTCGCTTCTTGAAGTCTCCCAGGGCCTCTTGCTCGTGCTCCATGTTCGGCTGCTTCAGAAGCCTTTCTTTCGCAAAAGCTTCTTTCAAAAGGCGCCTTTTCTTGCTGAAAAGAGGGGGCGCTGCTCCGAGGCACGAGCCCTCGCGCCGCGCGAGCGAAGACGTTCAAGGGACTCAGTCCCGTCGTGAGCTCTCCTTCCAAAACGCTCGGCTCGAGAGCCCCTAAGGAGGCCTCCGTTTCGCGCTTCCTCGCATCCGTCCTGAGCCATCCTCCACGAAGCCGGCGTTCACCAATTCGGCGCGCAGTGCCTCGCAACCTCCAAGCTCCTGTCGCAGGAGCCTCCGCGCCTGAGTCAGCGAGCAGAAAGCCCCAGGCGGATGGCTCAGGCAAACGCCAAACTTCGGGCGGCCTCGCGGACATGCGAAACTTCGTTGATCCGCGGTATGCGAAGCTTGATTTCCTTGCGAAGCGACGAGTATTGACAGTGGCAACTTCCGTCACTGCATGGCCGGGGCGCTGCCCGGATGGAGGTCGCACCGTTCTCGTCTAGACCCGCATAGCTCATGGCAGGGGAAAATCGTCGGGACTGCTTTGAGCCTCCCTCTGCGAAGCGAAGCTGCCAAACGCTGCACGGCGGCTTGCGCAGGAAACATCTCAAGACCCTCCGTGGCCTCGAGCAACTTTGCGCACGAGTGTGCGTCCGTCCAGTCTAGGCCTCAACAGGCTCCCATCGAACTGTCGAACGGATAGACCGATGCTGACCAGAGCATGCGCTGCTCCTGCAGCCAAGTCGCGTCGGAGAAAGACTTTGCCTCCGGACGCAAACCTGCGACAGGCGGAGGCGACGTGACCACCTGGCACGCGCTATGTGACGAGCCTGCCATCCGCCTTCGCTTTCGAAGCGCTGGCAGCACAAAGAGCAAGAGCCGCAGGGTCTAAGTCATCCGCACTGAGACCGCAGCTTCGTTAGAGGCCAGCAAGCTCCCGGCTATTGTCTGCGGCGGTGACCTACGAAAGCGAGTCAAAAGAACCGCGCCGTGGCCCTACATAGCACGCCCTTGCAGGCCTCAGCACCGCAGCATGCAAGGCTCAGCGTCAGAAAGCCGCAGCCGCAGCCCAGCCTTGCTAGGCGAATGGCAATCGCAATCGCCATCACTACCTAGAGGACGGCACGCGACCACGGCATCTGCCTGCACTTTTCTACCCCGCGCCCATCCACCCTGTCTCGTCGTCCCACTGCTCTGCGACGAAGCTCTGCAGCGAGGCGCCACCGGCTTCCAGCGCTGCTTCGGCACCTGCACAGAACCTCAGACGACGGACGCGGACAGATTCAAAAAAAAGCTGAAAACCTTTCAGCGCCTCTCGGAGGCCAGCAGCTCCAGTTCCAGGACCGGCCGCTCGTTGGCGATCAGCTTCTTGGCCGTCCTACAACGCTGCGGTACGGCAACCCCATTCCTTCTTCAAAGGCTCAAGACTCGACCGCTCCTCCGCAGCTCCGTCATCTGAGGACTTTCGGACTCCGGCAACGGTGCGGCCGAAGCGTTGAAGGAGTCCTGCAGGCCCTGCACCACCAAAGTCGCCCCAAGGACCCGCCCCTCGTCCCGTGTCCCTGCCTGCCTTGCGCAGCCATGCAACCACCTGTCGCCGTGCCGAGAGCTCCTGATCGAGCCCCGCCTCGACCACAAGGCGCAAGCACGCAAGCCGACGCATAGCCAAAGCCTCCTCCTCTCCACCTCCTGAGCCCCTGCTGCCCACCATGCCCACCTGGACCGGGGTCGCGAGCTCCAAAGACTCTGCGAATCGGCGTACGTCCTCCAAGCTGTCGCCTGCACGGAAGCGATACTCTGGCGAAAGCAGATGTGCTCCTGGCACAGTGCCTCGCACCCGATAAGGCACAAAGCCGAAGAAAGAAAAAAGGAAAGAAGAGAGAGAGAGAGAGAGAGAGGCAGAGACCGAGAGCGAGAGCGAGCGCGAGCGCGAGCGAGCGCCTGCGAGCAGTCTGGCAAGAGGCATCATCCTTCCGCCCGTTTGGGCATCACCCGGCAGCTCAAGCAGCAGGCGCTCCTCGGAGTTCAGGGAAAAAAGGAAGACAAGGGCCTCTGTCGGTCAGGAAATGGAGCGTGGAGCGCAAGCGCGTAAGGGCAGCACAGAGAGATTTGCGCGGCTCAGGGCTTCCAGCTTGGCAGATCTCAGCTTCGGCGGATCATCTGCCAGCGTGGCAGGCACGTCAACTTCAAGGCCGCAGATTTCGAAGAGGTTCTCCGTCTCCTCCCTCTCTTCGAGGAAGCCGTAGATGGTCCAGAGCGTGGCGGAGGAGTTGGGGCCGTAGAGATGCAGGAGCTCCTCGCCCTCTTTGACCGGCCCCTCAGCCAGCAGCAATGCCCCGTCTCTGACGGGGCCTTGCGGTTCGAAGGAACACTGCCAAAGCTGCACACCGTCCTGGAAGAGCGTCGTGGTGTTCAGGATGTCCACGAGGGGCACTAATGCAAGCTGCTCTTCGTCGGAATCCGGCTGAAAGGTAAAAGCCCTGGAATCTACGATGGCGAGAGCCCAACGTGCATCCTGCTCTGAAATGCCGGCTGCAACCAACTTCTCGACATTTTCACGTCCTGGCAGAGCCGCCGATGCTCAGGGCTCAGGGACGACCGAGAACATAGAACTTTCTGCATGCACTTGTGCAAACGAAACTGCTCACTTAAGGGTCAGTTGACTACACGCGAATGTGTGCGACAGATGCAAAGGCATTCATCTGGAACAGCATTGATTCATAACTTTCGGCTCAGGAATCAAGGAGAAAACTGTTGCTTGCGAGCGGACAAGCGAGGATGATGCGAACTTTGAGCATTGGGGCCTCCCGTTTTACAGTACTCAACCTCCAGGATGAGCACATTGAGAAGGGCATCTGCGGAGGCTCTGTTGTTGAGCTTTGCGATGGTGCTATTGACTGCGATGGTACCGAGACTGATAACTTTTATTCTATGCGGCAGAGTGTGGGTGCGAAATGCTGTTGCAAGATGTTGCAGGCTTGGAGTGGATCATGAGCAAGTCTCTCGCTATGTTCTGAGCATGTCGCTGTTCTGCTTGTGAACTCGGTCAAGGACAATGATAGATAGAGCATCTGTAAGTCCACGTGCATGGGGCCGGCAGATGCCGGCAGACCACAAGCAGTGCATCTGCGGCTGTGATCGCCTCGTCGGAGGTGCAGCACTCCGGACTTGAAACCGTCTTGTGCCGTGGTCAAACGCCCAAAATCCTGCAGAATGTCTGGGTACTTTTGACGCAGTTCTCGCTGGGATATCTTTCACATGCCACACCAAACTCTCATAACTGATCATTCGTGGCTTTTCTGCAAGACGAAATACTCATCGGATTTGTGTGTAGCATTACATCGATCTTACTTCTCCCATGGTGCTGAAAAAAGACATAGCAGAGACAGCCACCACACGTGAGCAAGACAGGGAATGTGAGGCTCACCATGGTGCGAGTGTGGGAGAAGTGGCATTGAGGGGGACATTGAAGCTTCAGGGAACAGTTGATGATCCCTGCACCTGCCAAACCAATAATGCCTGCCAGACTGCCGGGCTTCACGCGTTCTACATAACGGCTTTCGGAACTTCTGTAATATTCCGACGTGTCTCGAGACCCTTCTAATTGACGGTTCCGGTGGGGTGTTTGTCTTGGGGCAGAGCAGCAAAGCCCGAGCCTTCTTGAAAGATCTCTCTGGCCACGCGCCGGCCGTGGGCACTCCCCGCGAACAAGTCTTCGAGGTCCAGCCCCGGCGGCCAGAAGTAGGGATGAATCGATGGAAGCTGACTTTCTGTTGGCAGGCACCTGATGTAGGGTGCGAAGAACGACTCGGATCCCAGTTCCTTTTCGCGCAGAAGTGCCCGTGCCAAGCATGCCTCCTTCAGAAGACCTTCCTGCTGTTCGCCGACGAGGATGCCCTGCTCTGGAAGAAGGCAAACAACTTCGCCTGGCGCAAAGTCCCGCTTCGCAAATGCAGCTAAACCTCCATCCTCCTTCATGCTGGCATCGAGTCGGAGATCGTCAACCCCCTTTGTTCCGATCTGCTTCAACCATGTGCACAAGTCTTGCAACTCGTCTCTCTTGCAACTTCGAAAGCCTGGGCAGATTGTCCGCTTGTTGCACAAACGGCTTGCACTCAAGGCCAAAGTTCCAAGGCCCAACAAACTGCTTCGACCAGAAAGGCCGCCAAAAGGCGTGGCCCGAAATGTGGATTGTGATGTAGCCAATGGAGCCGCGCAGCCCCCGTAACACTGCGCGTCTGGGCGTTGAAGCGGCAAACTTTGCATTGCTGGAAATCTGTCTAGAGTCTTATGAACAACCTCTGCAACCTGTTTCTACGATGTCTAAAACACTTCGTGTGTCCATACTCTGGTCTCTCCCCTCGTAGCGCAAAACCATGACAGCTTGCATCAGCCAGACATGCTGATACATCGTCGCGCTAGGGACTGAACTCCAGCACCCGCTGGCCAGTCCAGCGACTCGCTCCCGCACTTTCCTGAGTTTCAAGCCGCAACTCCGAAACCCGCAGGACTGCTTGGGATCGTGCCTGCAAGTGCCGCGGCCTTCCCATGGGGCTGAGGTAGGAAAGCAGGTCATCAGCCTCGACTTCCACTTCGCCCCTTGCCGGACTCTTCCGTTTCTGAGGCATGGGCAGCTGGCCACTTGCGAACTCCACAGCCTGGGTAGAAGAGCCGCCAGGCTGATCGGAAGTAGTGCAGCTGCGAACCCAGGCACGAACCATCTGCAAAAATCTGGCATCCTTCCCAAACATGCAGAACTGTCTCTCCGTCCTGCAACAGCTTCAGTTCAGTCGGCGCTGTCTGACGTCTCCTTTTCGGATTTCGGTCGCACCATGTCGCACCTCAGTCTGGATCAGGTACTGCTGCAACCTGAAGGCAACGAGGCAGAAGTGCAACGCACGTGGCAGCCGATCGCCAAAAAAGGGCACTGCCACCGAGCTTCTCCTTCCGCGCGGGCAGGTGATCTGCGTGGCCGGCGCAGCCGCTGCAGGCGAGTTCAGCTCGCTGCTTCCTCGCAGGCATGGGCGCAGAGTCGCGAGAACACAGAATTAAGGAAGCGTCAACCAGCAGATCTCGTCGGCCTGGAGCTGAGTCTTGAGGCCAGCAAGGAGGCCGCGGCTCCTGCCTGCAATGTTTGCACGAAGCTTCGGCCTCAGAGACGCAGGCAACCTTGCAACTTTTGCATGCCTGAGCCAAGCTTGGCCATCTAAGCAACAGGCCATTCCACATCAGAGTGGAGGCAACATGATCTTGCGCTTGTGGTACTCTGCATTCAACCAGAAAGTCGCTTCAAGGGGATTTGAGTTAGGTGCATGGCAAGGTCAAAGCTGGGGGGGGAAGTAGCATGCCTGCAATGGCCGACAGTTGGTGCTTGTGCAAGGATATGTCAGAGAGTTCGCTCCCAATTAAACATGCAGCCTTGCAGATGCCTGCAACGAGAGCACAACTGAGACATTCAAGTTTCTTTGCTTTGATTTGCGGGTTTGCAAGCTATGTACACAGGGGACAGAAAGCCCCAAACGCAGGGCAAGTGCCCGAGCTACCCGAGCTCTTTGCGTGCACTGATGCCGTGGTGCAAACGGCTTCTGCAATGCCTTCCGCTTCAGTGGCTTACTGGTCCGCCGACGGACACTTGGGCTGCAGGACAAGGCTCGCCGCCTAGAACAGGTTGCCTCGGCTGACGGTCTCGACATGACATGTGTAAACAGATGCAAACAGATGCAAGTCAAACTACAGAGTTTACATTTCTACCGTATGCGAGTTCAAGCCATCTGAGTGCCAGGCTGTTGAACCCCAGTGGCAAATCGGATCCGGATGATTCAGCATCTGACTCCTGAAATGGTCTCTGGCTCCGCCAAATCCAAAGGGATTTGGAGCAACATGCAAGAAAGCGACGTCCCGATCCTCCTGCGATGGCGCACTTGCTGCCTCACCATCGGCCAAGAAATCAGGTCTTGTTGGCGACATTTACAGGAGGTCATCAGCGACTCTTGCTTCATGCTGCACGGCGTCCAGCCCCACACCTCCGTCCAGCCCCCCATCCTGCATCCTTCACCCATCCCCACGACAGGAATCTTCTGCCCTATTCGGACTCTATCCGAGCCATGTCTTGATGCGTAGAAATCGCAAAAAAACCCAGGTAATAAAGCTATGAAAATTGGTGCAGCTGGACGCGTTGCATTCATCTTCAAAGCCCAGCACAGCCTGTGACGAGCTGCCATCCACGTTCACTAGAATCTTGTGTCCTGGTTCCTCGCTTGCCCTGCTTACAGCTCCATGGGAGGGAGAGAATGTTTTTGGATTGTATGCAAGCTGGGTTCCAGCACGGTCCTGCACCGCTCGCAGTCCGAAAGTGTCGCTTGTGGGGCTGGTGTCAGATTCTGTTCTGTTCGATCTTACAAGCAGATGAAATGCTGCAGAAGCTCGCCCTCCTCAAGAATATCCAAAGACAATCCCTGAGCGTGCACACCCCGAATACACGAGCTCCACCAGTAAAGGACATCTCCTTGGTGCATGTGTGTTTGTCCAGCTCACGTGGCAGCCGTAGTGTGCCGGGCCCTCCCCGGCGGCAGCAGATCGCGCGCCTTGGCTTTGGCCTTGGCCTTGCTGGCCTCGGCCATCTGACGCTGGCGCTCCTTCCAAGGCGAAGCTTCGAACTTCGCTTCGCTACTGCTTTTTCTTAAGGAAAGCGCGCTACGTCGCTTCGCTTGCCGCAGACCAGGCCGCCCGTCCTGCTCCGCTTTTCGGTCAGCGACTCTTCGCAGGCGCTCGGCTTCTTTGGCCTTTACAGCAAGGCAGGAGCGGCAAACGTCGCACCGCCAGGAACTCTCCCGGCCGGGCACCCCGCAGCTTCCTCCTCCTTTCGCTTTCTTTCCTCAGCGACTTCCGCCGTTACGGCTCAAGAGACCGATATAGAGCCCTGGGGACCTCCTCCAGGATGCGCTCGGCCACCCGCTCCTCCTTCGGAGAGGCAGCAACAAACTCGTGCCATTCATGAATCGCGCCAATGCCTCCAACTTGGCTTCCTCCTTTTTCTTTTCCTCCTCATGCACTGGGCAGGTGAAGCACGTGTCTCCATGCGGCGAAGATGTCCTCGCGCTCTTTCGCAAGCGCCTCCTTTTCCTCCCGACGGCGCCTGAGCCAAGAGATACGTGGGTCTCTATAGTCAGTGGAGGCCCCTCTTGCAAGAGACACACGGCCATCGCTGCGCCTATTACCAGACATCCGTTCTCTGGCGAAGACTTACAGGTGCTGAATCCGTCTAGGTGCCTTGAGTAAGTAGCTCCGTCTCTCTACTTTTAACCACCTGTCTGCTGCCATGACTTCATGGCTCCCTGAACGACCACATACAGGTTGTCGCTCATCAGCGGCACGCATGTTGCCAAGGGCACGGCTCGGCTTGCTCCTTCTGTTCCGCAACTTTCCTCGCCTTAGCCTCTCGAGATCCCAAAACGATGGCGAGTGCTGCCGAGATACGCACACTAAAGACTGGCCTCCGCCCGCGCAGCCTTCGCCTCTTTGGAGGCTTCTCGCCGGCGCAGCTCTTCTGCGGCCTTCTCTTCAGCAAGGCGTTCCTGGGCCAGCTGGTCCAGACGGTCTGTCACTAGCTGCATTTTTGGGCGCCTTCTGTTCCCTTCTGGCTGCGTCGCGGGCAGCTTTCCTGGCACGACAGAGGCCAGGCATCAAGCCGCCATGTCTCATAAGCATGCGGGATGCACTCTTCCGTGCGTTTCTGGACTTGCTCGGCCTCACACTGTTGCAGCGGCGACTTAGGCATGTGACGCTTGACACGAGCACCAAGGTTGTTGCGAACTCGCTCGTTGCGTGAGCCATCTGCCGCAGGACCTTAAACAGTGATTCATTCAACCAAGCACGGCGACATGATCAATGACTTTTGCTACAGACGCAGCTTCTGTTAAGGCATGTGCCCAGCGCCGCCGGAGCCTGGAACAAAAGAGCCACAGTGGCTGTAGGCTGTAGCCATTCAGCTTCACACCCACAGCTGAGGCGGGAACTCTTCTGCGATTTTGACAATTTCCTTGAACTGTTGGTGAACACCATCAACACTGTGAAGCGCCACGATGCTCAACCGGATGTTCTTCCCCATTGCCTTGCCTATTCTGTTGCGACTCAGCGCAAAGACAACAGGGACCTCATGTTCGCGTGCCAGTTCAATCACATCCTCCACAGTATCGTCAAGGCCTCCTTCCGCACTGGAGGTTTCCAGATTGGGCGCCACTATGAGGCCCTTGCACTTGCTCCTCGTGATAGCTCTTCTTGCTTCCCGCAGCCCCACGCAATAGCGCTTCAGCTTCGCGTACTTCATCGGGTTCTGCTCCTTGGCTCGATCTTGAAATCGGACCAGCTCCGACAGCACAAACTTCACTTTTTCGTCCAGGTCGTCGCTGAGCTCCTGATGAACGTAATGTCGAACCTCCAGATTGGCTGGCTTCGGCACTGTCTCCTTTGGCTTTTGGCTTTTTTCCTGCACTGTTCGCAAGCGCTCGAGCGTCTCACTGATGGACAGGGGCTCGATCTCTTCCGACCCGTCTGAAGGATCTTCAGTCGGATCACAGTCAGGGCGCGGAGCAGGACCGGCTGGACCACCGGCCAAGACGGCCACGGGGCCGGCAGGCAATGGAGCTTTCATCGGAGGAACGAGCTCCGTCGCGTCGAGAGCTCTTCGATCCTCTTCGGAACCAGTTCTCAGCCACTCGGATGGCATGAAGGCCGGAGCATCGGCATTCAGCCGGCTGGGCGCGGACTCTGATTCCTGCAGATCTCCCTCTCGGAACTCGCGGTCTTCCAGAATAGTCTTCTTCAACTTGCTCATCTTCTTCTTCTTAGAGACGATGCGCTGCTTCCCAATGCGAAGGTTCGTCAAGTCCATGGAGGACTGCTCGAGGATCGTCTTGCTTACAGCACCCGCGCGGATGTCGCGCCTGCTGGCCTCGGCCATCTCGGAGAGCGGTACCTTCGCACACGGGCCATGCCCAGTGAAAGGGTTTTTTCATGGCTTTCTGGGTTGTTTAATGGCTTGCTGTTTCCTTGCTTGCTGCCCTGTTCCCTGTTCCTGTTCCCAGCATCGGCTTGGCTCATGGTTTCTACAAGGCTCCTCCGTTGTCGATGGGTAAGGAACCGGCGTCTCGGAAGCTAGCTGCCGCCTTTTTGCTTCGGCTGTCCTGGAGCCTTCACATCATTCGCTACACCTGGGTGTGTTGATGCGCTGGTGGTGTGCGATGCTCGAACTGCAGCTAGCTGCTACTGCCGCATTGACGGGCCCCTGCCTGCCCCAGAGGGGACTGCCTCAAGAAAGGTCCAGGTGCCGAAGCAGATGCGACATCAAGCTGTCAGCGCGGCTCATGGATCAACAGCCCTTGCACGTGTCAAGCTTCAGCCCCTGGTTTCCCTGTGCAACAACAATGTGCAACTGTGAAGCTTTCCCACATTGGCGTGAATGTCGGCTGCAGAGACAAAAGGCAACAACATGGAATTGCAAGCAAGATGCTGGGATGGCCATGACAGCTAGACATCATTGAAAGTCTGAAAAAACAAAAACAAGAATGCGGGAAACAGATGTCTAAAGTCTAAACCCCAACCAACAACTCAAAGCACACGACTTGACCGGAACTCGAAAGGAAGGTCGAAACATCAATAGACAACTCTTCATGTGTGTCAATGTCTCCAGCTTTTTGTTGGGGCGGCCCTATGCAGAGCACACACATGTCAGCGTACTCACTGTGAGTAAGAAAAGAAAGCGCATGACCTGAGGAGCTTCTTGCACGTTGGCAGCCCCAGGTTGGTCTACAGCCAGCCTGTCAAGTTGTAAGCAAACGTAAGGAAAAACAGGAGAGGGAGTAGATGGGGCCTGTGGGGTATACGAGAGCCAATGCCACGCTCATTCAGCACATTGATCCGCCCAGTGCAGTCTACGACGACCGGGCCTGATGCTTGCCTTTACAATTCCTCCCCTATACACAACAGCCTTCGTATGCCTTCGTAAAAACTCAATTTTTCCAGGTTGCTCGGAGTTGCTATCAAAATGTGACCAAACAACTTTAACTGTGCCCTGTGAATGTGGTGTGTGAGGGGGGCTGGTCGGCAAGTGCACGGACTCCCTCGTTCTGGATGGTCTGTGCGTGGGGGTTCTCGGTAAGTACTTTGGTGTGGAAGGTGGCTTTGATCCGCTGGATCTTGCGAAGTGACTGGGAGTGAAAGGCCTCAAGCCT